TCCACGTGGCTGCTGTAACAAACGCTCTTCTTCCACCATCAGACCCTCATTTCCGTCCTCGTGTCGATCTGAGCTCTTTGTTGATTTCCCTTCATTTTCAAGGACTCCTGTGATCAGGCCGAGACCCTGGGATGGTAGGCACATCTATCTGTGTGTCCCCTCTGCCACATACCTTTCTAATGCTGATACCCTTTAGTACAGGTCCTCATTTTGTGGTAGCCCCCAAGCAAAAAATTATTCCATTGCTACTTCACAACTGTAACTTTGCTACTGTTCAGAACTGTAATGTAAATATTTGATATGGAAGATATGTGATATATGACCTCCACGAAAAGGTTATTGGACCTCCCAAGGGACCACAACCCACAGGTTGAGAACCATTGTTCTAGAGGCTACCACAGGAACATTTGGGGGAGAGGGAGCCATTTCTGTTCCTACCGCAATCAACCTTGTGTCTCCCATTGATTCTTTTTCCACAGAACTGCAGGACGCTCTCCCACTAACGCTTCTACCGTTTCCTAGTTTGCAGTAACACTCTCTCACACCCGACATCTCCCAAGCCCAGAATTCCATGAGAAATCTGCCTGTTCACGGTCTCGTCTTAATGTCTTTCTTTCTGCTGGTATTTGTTCAAAGCAATGCAGGCTTTTTCTGCTGTGCACCTCATCATTCTTCCAGCCTCTTGCCAGTGTTCAGTTCCAGAGTGGTTTATAGGTACGGGTTATTCAGTACCCTGAGTCTGGCCAAAATAGTTTTGTGGTTGCCATCACAATTTATTTTACATCTCATAATTTAAAGCAACACCACTGCCTTGAGTTACAGTTCTGCAGGTCTTTGCAGGATCAAAGGAAGCTGTCTGCAGGCTGCACCCACTATGAGGCCGGAGGAGAGACTCTACTCTCCACTCGTTTTGGTTGTTGGCAGAATCTAATTCCTTAACACAGTCAAGTTGTACTTATGAGGCATCTCTCTGGCCCTCTCTTAGGCTCTCCTCCTCCACTGGTAAGGGCTCATGTGATTAAATCAAGCACACTTGGGTAATCCAGGGAAATCCCCCCAAGTGACAGCCTTAGACTTAACCCCATTTATAAGTATCTTCAGCCATACCATGCAACAGATTCCCAAAGCTGTGGGGATGAAGGTACAGCCATTCTGAAGCTTTATTAGGGATATTATTCTTGCTACCACAAGCTTTATAATCTGGGGACACAACACATAGTTTCTCCCTTTTCTGGCACCGTGTCTGGCAGTCTCACCAGTTTCCTCATTCTTTGCTTTCCTAGCCTAAAAGAGATGGAGAAAACATCAGCCCTGTCCTAACTGTGACCTGTGGCCATAGTCTAAGCTCTAGAAGAAAGCGTATGGATTTGGGTTTGGGTTTGGGTGAGGTCTGCTTGCAACAGAAAGAACACATGGGTTGGTACAGTGGGAGACTCAGTTTTAAAGCCCATCTCCCCTCTACACATAGTTCATATCTCTTCTGACATTAGATTATTATGAGGTATTACTTCTATCCTCATCAATAATGTCCTCATCAACCTTATGTCCTCATCAAAAATCAAAGGCAAATATGTATATAGCAGAAAGAACTGAGTGTGTACCTGCAGACGACCCTCTGAAATCTAACCCACGGTCACCATAAATGTTGTCATCAAGCCATGGGCTCCTTGGGAATACTGTGTTCTCCACACCATTCTTATCAGAAGTCCCTCGAATTCTAAGGTTGGTAGCACGTGCTTTGATTCAGAAACATATCTACATTTGAGCCCTGGTTCTGCCCCAGGTTTTTTCATTTTAGCTCCTTGTGTCTTATTTCCTTATGAGACAAATGCTTTCATGGTGTGCCGGCTGTCAGAAATTAACAAGGGCAACTTAGTCGTCATCCTGTTGCCGTAGCTCTTCAACATCCTATGAAATTAATGCATCATTATTTGCCTTTACTTACTGAAAAAAAATAGTTGTCTATGGTTAAATGGCCATCCTTCTAAGAGATTAGGTGACATGTCACAGGTCACCCAGGAATAATAATAATATAACATTGGAATAGTAGAATCAGGGCCACAGCCAGGTCTCTTCTGCCCCAGAAGATGGGCATATGAAATATGTGCTGTCTTGCCTACCTAGTAGCTTGAGCAAGGCAGGGAAGATAGAGTGCCTAGCGTACGTATAGTTGGGTACTTCATAAGCACTGCTCCATTGGTTACCCTGATACTCTGCAGCTACCATGAACAGCCACAAGGACGAGACAGTAGCGGCTTCACTCTTTCCTTCCTAGACTTTCCCATTTTGCAGAGGCACAGCGAACTGCATTTCAGGAGGGGCAGGAGGGATGAGAAAACCATTGCATTATTTGTGTCAAATTCCACTTGTCTTAATGGACTTGTTAAAAGCACCCCAGTGGCAAGTGTGAGTCTTAATGGAGTTTTATAAAAGCCATTGTGATGAATTAGCACATGAGGCAAATTAAAAACAGCTTATCGCTTCTTAAATTAGGTGATGAGGCACTGTACCATTTTCCCCAGATGTGTGGATCCATTAATATCCAAAGGAGACAGAAACTGAAATGTGTCAGATGCTGGCTTTTAGGAACCTGACAATCCCGAATCAGTGTGATCCTAGAGGGGGCAGATTGGACAAGATAACTGAATTCCTCAGGCAGAGCCAGGTCTACTGCCTCGGGCAGAAGCAGCAAACTGCCCTTTGGAAACTCTTGGGAAAGGATGGCACACGGGAGACTGTCTGACCTGGAGAGAATGGCTGGAAATAATCGCCACATTCCTTATGACATTATGAGGGCAGTGAGATGTGAGGAAAGGGGGCTTGCAGTCGTCACATGGAACATTCTAGAAGCGCATATTACGGACTTGCCTTGGGTCCAGAAGACAGAGAAGGGCTCTTAAGGTGTCTTTTCACACAGTATGGAAGACAGATATGTTCTGGAAGCCATGAGGCTCTGACTTATGTCGTTGAGTACTTGTGACAACAGGTCGTAGGTGCTGTCTGCAGGGTGAATTGTTGGAGACTCGGCATGGAGGGTTTGTGCTGGGATCTGCCTGGAGCCACCACAGCTGTCCCCAGACTAAGCAATACTGTCAGAACAGAACAACCACGTGAAGTACTATGTCCAAAACTAGTGGAGATCTTTCCAAAATCTAAGTTCCTAAATATCACCTAAAGGACACCTTTACCATGGGCCTTTTTAAGGACAATTGTCTTAACACAAGCATGATAATTTTGCTTTTCTTTCCCACAAAGTGCAATCGGTAGAGAGAAATCTAGGAGAGAGGGGGGATTACTTCATACATGCAGTTAGCCAACGTATGCAATACACTGTAGTGCATGCTTTATGCACATTGCTTCATAGGATTTACCCACACAGCTCAGTAATGGAGCCAGTACCCATCATTGCCTACCATATGTAAGCAGCTGGAACCTATGAAACAGAAATAGCTTGGCTTGGTAACCAGTGGGGCCATTAAGGCACCGTAGGAACAGGGCACGGCCCCAGTAGTTCTTCATTATAATTCCTTCTGCTAGGTAGCTCCTACCGCATGCTAGATGTTGCCTGTGTTGCTCCCATTATGGGAAGGTAGCTGTGCACTGAACACATTCGGCTCTGGAGTGTGAGCTGATTTCTATCTTGTCACACAATACTTCCCATCAGCAAGAGCAGTGTCTGTCCTCCCCCACCCCCACATTTCTGGGATGGGGCTTTGTGTGAGTCCCTGATAAAGAAGATGCAGATGGTCAAGGAAGCAGTCATTTATTCTAGGCACTCAGACCAAAAGACTCTCCAAATTACATCACTTAGGGATACTGGAAATGGCTGTATTGTAAGTAATTCGGCTCCTATAATATTTGAGGATTAAGTGCTATCTTCAGCGCTTTTTGGTTACCATGACAGCAGATGCGACATGTCTTTGACAGAGAAGGAAAGGCAGGGGGAAGGAAGGAAAAGAGCCAGGGTTGACCCTAATGATTTTAGAAAATTCTACTCTCCAAATCTACGCTGTTTTACATGCATGGTGGTTATAATGTAAAGAAGGTCTCAGAGCGGAATGAAAGGAATTCATAAGGAGGTGGTAGAGTCTTCTCCTGGGAAACCTTTGACACTGTGTATGGTGGGTTTTAAGATGGGGGATATGTCAAAAAATAGACAGTATAGTACATGCAATAAATTGTCACATCTTTATGGCTTCAACTGTCCTATTCACTGCGTTCATGCTGCTTCTCACTCAGGCGCCAAACCAGTCTTAGAAAGTGCAGTGCATTCGGCCCTAGCCAGGGCTCAGACAAGCCCCTTCCGTGGCAACAGAGGATTCCAATTCAGAGTGATGAGCGCGGTGATGAGGCAGGCCTGGATTTCATAGAAGCAAAAGGAGCTGTGATATTGTTCAAATGTAAACACGGATCTTTCTGCCCTGCATTTTACATTTTAAGCATTCATTCAGGTCATTACAGTAACTCTTCAGGCACCCAGGATCAGTGTTGACTCAATATTCCATTGTTGGGGGGAGTCGGTCACTCTGGGTAGGCATTTCTCATTTTCCCCACTTTTGTTCTATTTCAAAGGAAGGTGTCTATAAGTCAGTATGCTGAGGGGAATTTATCTCTAGCACAGAGAACTTAAGAAAGATAACCATGGTTTTCTTCATTTATTTTTCATTTGTACAGTGTGGTTCTAGTAGAAAAAAAAGTATTTCAATTGGGTAATAAACTGAGGGCCTAGGCTCTCGTTATTGTCTGTTACATGTGATGGTCGCCACAAAAGAGAAGAAGGACTCTACTTATAGGGACCTATCGGCCGCCCCTGCAACTAGCAAAGGAAAAGCAAGAAGTAACCTCAGTGTAGGACCAAAAATAAAAACTGTGTAGCACAATCCAGGGAAACATTGCAGGAGATGTTGGAGCCCCCCGGCAAGAGCTGAAACTCCAAAGCCCGAGTTTTAAATCAACACCATCAGCTTCCTAACCATGCCATCTTTTGTCCTCTCTTTCAGAGCCATGTTTGACTATGACAAGAGCAAAGACAGTGGGCTGCCTAGCCAAGGACTTAGTTTTAAATACGGAGACATCCTGCATGTCATCAATGCCTCTGATGATGAGTGGTGGCAAGCCAGAAGGGTCATACTGGATGGGGACAGTGAGGAGATGGGCGTCATTCCCAGCAAGCGGAGGTAAGGGTGCCTTCTTTCTCCTTCCCTCCATCCCCCCTCTCTTGTGTGCGTGCATGTGTGCGCGTGCGTGTGTGTGTGCGTGTGTGTGTGTGTGTGCATGTGTGTGTGTGTTAGCTATCTAGGGAGTGGAAATGCAGGGAGGGGAGGATGGGAAGACTGCACACAAGATGACTACTTAGGTGTGATAGGCATTCTACAGGAAAATTGTCGGTGGTGACAGGTGACAAGAATAAAAATTTCTCATTCTCTGCATGTTAGGATTTTACCAAAATTGGTGAGTGTGATGAGGCAGGGAGGGAAGGGAAAGAGCAGCCTCCACGCTTCTCCTAGACTCTGCCTTATGAGCCTGCTCGCCCATTCGCACCTGATGCACTGATTCTGTGGCTCAGCATTGACAAGGAAATTTTTACAGAAAAGCCAAATATAAAAAGGCAGCGACGTATCGCACTAAGGCCCAGATGCTGGAGCCGTGGACTGTCCTGTAGCTGGGTGGACAGATACCTCATCCTGCTTTAGGTAGGCTTGTTCCCCATCCCAGCATTCCCTTCAGCTGCTCAGATTTTTCATCTATGTATTTCTTAGGCATATCAAGCCCTCCTCTTTCAAATGCTTCCTTAATTCTGTTTTTGCAAGGCAGAAATAATACTCATGTGAGTCAACTCAACCATATATATTAGCATCCACTTATCACCACCATTAGGAATTCCCTTCTCACGAATGTCCTTCTGGCACAAGACATGGTCTATGAAACAAACATTGACTATATCAAAGCCAAAGTCAGTCAGCGGTGCAGCATAGTTGGGGGAGGGGCCATGAGCGTCCACGCCTAGCTGAGGAGGACGAGATGGCTGTGCAGGGTCGGGGCGTTAGTTTCCGTTGGAGGTGTCATCCCTCGCAGGATGACCAGTGGATGACTCCATCCCCACACATATGGGCATTGCTAACTGGACTCAGTGGGTGAGAGACAGAAGGTGAGGGGACGGAGAACAGACCTGAAGCTGGAAGGAGGAAGAGGAAGAGGAGAAAGATGGACGGAAAATTCACTCCTCAGCCTCTTGTTTCCAGTTCTTCACATCCCCACCACTTCTCCCTCCCAGCTGTGTGTAGGCTCTGTGTAATCCACTGAGTTCCTGAAGTCCCGAAGCAGCGATTCTTAATATTACTTCATTGATGTGTTTGTGAATCTTCATGTAAAAAAAAAATAGTCAGGACGACCTGTGTTCCGGTTGCGCAGATTCAGTTACCAAAGCTGTCTGAGGGGCTGTTCCTGGGAGAGCTGTCACGTTCAGTTGGTCCAAGGGATAGGGGCTGAGTGGAGGGACAAAATCTACCAGAAACAGCTTACAGCTCATTTTCAAGAAAGCATTCTTCTCATTGAAATCGCCCAGCGATGCTCTAGACTACGCAGGATGACATGAAAGGGCCTCAGACTTTAGATGGGAGGATCGAGCCAGGAAATGGTGCAGAGCTTCTCAACCGCAGGCTCATGTGATTCTAACCATCATGTCGACAGTCATTCGTTCAATCAAGTGTGCACCACTTCCCCCAAGACACAGCCCTCTCCCAAACAATTTTCCACTTGCTGCTGACCATCCTTGAATTGGTTTTTTCGTATTTTGAAAGAAGCAATCTTTTTTTTAACTAAAGGAAACCATCTTACCAGCCATACAACCGCCGCCCTGCTGCCCTGAGCAAGGGCTTTGTACAAGTGCCGCCACGTTCATATGGACTTGCACTCTTTTGCTTACAGTGGGGAGGATCTGGGAGGACTTAGGAGAAGGGAAACCATAATCAGAATACATTGTGTGAAAAATCTATTTCCAATTTAAAAATATTAGGACACCACAGTGGTGGATAGGGGTGTGTGTGTGTGCACTTATGCGTGTCTGACTATATTCTTTGTAAACAGAGATTTAAGTGATGACCCCACTAAAACTGGTCTGTTAAGATCACTTAATAATAGTGAAAGTGTGGACTGCTCTGCCCAAGTAATCCTTAGCTTAGAATACTGCTTTGAGCCCTGCTTCACGCATGCTTGTGGCTTCTGTGGGTCTGTGCAGGATTGATTGCCATTCTCCGGTCAAATCACTATGCATGTCCCACATGCTGCAGTCATGGCAGCGGGATGAAGCACTGCTTCCGTCGTTAGTCAAATCCATGCAAAGGAGTCAGAATAAAAGTAAAGGCTCTAATACGGTTCTAGGAAAATCTGAGGCGGTGAATAAGAATGACCATTTGAGCTTCAACTTAACAGGGAGACAGGCTGGCTGAGTAGCTCTGAGCTGGCTTCTTCCCAATGAACTGCTTCTACCTAGCAGTTTCTCCCCAGCCTTTCTGGCTCTCCTGACAATCGTTATGTGTTGGGTGGATGCAAGGCAGAATTCTCAACACGGGTTTCTCCCCGGGGAATATGTTGCTTTAATGTCTGATGTTAGATGGGAAAGGTTTTGTCCAGCCCTTTCCACCCAAATATTCCCTTCTGCCACTGGCATCAATGTGTTCTGAGACCTTGCTCTGTAGCTATAGAAACCCAGCTCCTCGGTGATTCAGTTGGAAACACAAAAGAGCTCTCGGTTAGGAAGTCGCCTGCTGCTAATTACACAGCTATGAATAGCTTAGACTTCATCAGCCATTAAGTTTCTATAGATTTGGGATTATTTTTCTCTCGCTTGCTCTTTTCTTTCCCATGAAAGAAAAAAAAATGGAATTAAAGCCAGCCAGATTTAAACAAAATCATGTCAGAGCAGCCTACCGGATAGTATTTTTGTACTGGAGACCTGCTGTAATATTCTGCTGAGGGTTACGTGCACTTGGACCAGAAAACTACACAAACTTTCAAATCAATATAAAGTGTTTAAAGATGGGAATCAAGATGTAACTTCCAGAGATAAAATTCAGTGCTGTTGTGGGGAGCAGGCAATAAAAACAACACTTTACTGCAGAGACTTGGAAAAGTCAAGGAAACACATAGATTCCTCTTTCTCAAATTTAGCTTAAAACAGGAGCTAATCAAATTTTATTTTCCTGGAAATTTCTTAAGCCCTGACTTTCATATCTGAATTATCCTTCCCTATCCTTCATTGATATTGCCTGGGTTATGGCAAGAGTTTGTGCGCATACCCCAATCTTCTCTTTTTCCTGCCCTTCCAAAATTCTCTTCCACTGCACCAGGATCCTTTTCCTAAGATACTAGCTTGAAGGGCTCAAGAGATAACTCGATGGCCAAGGGTGTTAGCGGTTTTGCAGAGGACCAGAGTTCAGGGTTCAGTACCCAAGTCCATGGGACGCAATACCCTCTTCTAGCTTCTACAAGTCTTGCATACACATGAGCCTAACTACATGCACACACATACATGTCTACATAAATAAAAATAAATCTTTAAACCCCTAGTTTGATTATACCACCTTCCTCATTTATGCCTTGTTACTACTGCCCAAGTCCTTGAGTGGCTCAGAGGGAAAGGAGGAGGAGTTTGCGTCCTCATGTGGATGCTCATGGGTGTGTGGATGCACGCATGAGCGTCATTTCCTAAGCCCCTCCCCTTTTTTAAGACAAGGCCTCGCTTTGGCCTAGAATTCACAAAGCAGGCTGAACTTACTACCCAGCCTGCCCTAAAATCCATCGATCCCTGTCTCTTCTAGGATTATAAACTCATGCCCAGCTTTTTACATGGCTTCAAACTCGGGTCCTTGTCATAAACAAGGACTTTATCAACTGAGCTTTCTCCCAAGCCATATGTTTAAAAAAAAAAAATTTGTGATTTCACGTAGGTCAGTCAGGCTAGCCTTGAACCCATATATGATTTTGACTTTGAATTCCTCATCCTGTCGTCTCTACCATCTAAGTGGTAGGTTTCAGATGTGTGTCAGTACGCCTGGCCCCCAACATCCTAGGAAACTCCACAACTTCACCCAGCCTCCACTCATCCTGTGTGGACCCCATGGTGCCGTCCTTTGGGTTCCTGGCTTGGTAGAGACTGGAATGCTTGCTCACCTTTTCCTACTGACAAGCTCTTTCTCACTCTCTAGCTTCAGATGGACTGTGGTCCCCTTCCGAGTACCACAGCAACACTAACAACCCCCACGCCCCCAGGTGATGCTAGGAATGTTTGTCTGTCTCTCTTCCTGCTGAGAGCATATCATGATAGATACGCATTACAACCTTGTTGTAAATGTTTCCTTTCTTTATTCCTACATCTTTGGTTAATAACATGGCAAAGGCTCCTTTAGTGGCGGGAAAATAATGGTGCTGCCAAAACAACGGAAGGACATTAGGCTCCTTGAAGGAACATTCTAGGGTGCATGAAACATACTGGTTGCCAAGTGAAGCTAACAGTGTAATACTGCTCTTTAATAGAGTAGGAGGGAAGAGGGGGGCTTGTTTGTTTCCACTCTACGCATCTGTGATTTCCTGAAATAGAGTCTTGTTGATCCATAAGCATTTCCATACTCTTATCTGTTACTTCCAAATATTAGGACTGTCAGTACATGTAAGGCAAAATTTTCCAGGATCATATTAGAAGTTTAGACAATTTTTACCAAGTTTTTCATTTTTTAAAATCCTTCCCAAGGGAACAAAACATTCTCAACCATGTTTTATTTGAGTTGTAGGGAAAAGAGGAAGAAGTGCACTTTACTTAATGAGGAACTTAATCATAATTGCCTTGCCACTCAATTGTTTTTTTTTTTTTCCTTTCCATTAGAGTGGAAAGAAAGGAGCGTGCCCGGTTGAAGACAGTGAAGTTCAATGCAAAACCTGGCGTGATTGACTCGAAAGGGGTAGGTACAAAATTATGGAAGCATTAATTTCTCTCAGTTATTGTAGATTCAGTGACAATTAACATTCAGGCTTTAATAGTGCCACTAGACACAAGAACACTGACCTACATGTATTGCTAAAGTAATGTCATTTCTGATAAAGTGAGTTTGTTATGTGGATGTTAACTGCTGGGACAAAGCCAGTGATGATGAAAGTGCTGTGTTGACTACTGAAGATGGTAAAACATAGTCTAGATGTTTTCCTTAAATGTTCTGAAAGGTCACATTTCATAGACAGTATCTACCCATCTGATAATGTATCTAGTTTGACACACATTATACACATAAGACTGTAGTCACAGAAATACAGACATGGGTCAGTTAAGTGAATATGTAGATTGTTGTGACAGACACGGGAGAGAATTAACAACAAAATCCTACCAAGATTAACACTCATGTGCACATCTCCTCTTAGCCCAGGCTTTACTGGCAGAGAATTCACTCTCATATGACTTTCCCACTTAAATTTAGAGTTGGGCAGCTGTCACCTCCATCGGTTCGGGAAATTTCATCACTCCATCAAGAAATCCTGTCGAGGTTAGCAATCATTTCCCATCCCTCGGCCTTCCTTCCCCACCCGACCACAGTCAGTAACCTACTTTGTCTTTATAGATATGTCCGTGAATACCTCATATAAATGGAATGTGCCCTTTTGTGACTGCTGATTTCACATCGCAATATTTTTTAAGTTGCGTTTATAGTGTTTCATGAATAAATAAAAAAGTGCTTCATTTCTTTTATTGCCATATAAAATTCTATTGTATGGCCATACTACATTTAGCATGTCCATTCATCAAATGACAGACCTTTGCGGTATTCCCAGTCTTTAGCTACTGTGGGTAATACTAGCAGGACAGTTTGTATTAAGATTTTGATCCGCATGTCTTTACTTTCATTGATTATACAGAGCAGCAAAGTCGCTGGTTCCTTCAGCAACATGATGGCTGTGGTGCACATGTTAGGAACTGCCAGGCGGTTACACAGTGGCCATGACACTTCACATTTCTGTCAACAGTGCATTGTTGTGCGATTTCTTCACGCGCTGAACAATGCTTGTTATCATGTATTTTTTACAATTATGGCTATCTTGGTTAGCATGAAGCCGTGTGTTATTGTGGTTTTGATTTGTATTTCCCTAATCAGTGGAGCTGGTGAACCTCTTATTTTTGGCCTTAGTATATCTTATTCCATACTTGGCATATCTTTTCTAAGAGCTGTCTACTCAAATTTGGTATATTTTTAAATTGGCATTTCCCTGCTGCTATTTTAACTGGGTTATAGAGTCTCTAAATATACTCGTGGTAAAACCTTTCTCTTCACTTATTCATGTATGTGTTTCTGTTTGTGAGTGTGTGTGTGTGTGTGTAGGAACATGTGTGTATGGCATGGTGCACATGTGGGTGACTGGCTAGTTAAAGTCAGAAATCTTTTTACATTGTTCCTTCACCTTTGAAACAGTATCTCTCAGTCAAACCTGTAACTCACCAAATCCCACTAGTCTTGCTATCAACTTGATCCAGAGATCCCCTCTCTGCCTTCTGAGGCTGGAATTACAGGCAACCACAGCCAGCCAGAACTTACCTGGACTCTGAACCTCTCAGCTCCAGTCTTCTTGTTTTGGCAGCAAGCGCTTTAACCACTGACCCATCTCCCTCCCCCTGTACTCTGCCTTTAAATGATTTTTCAGATAGATATTTTTCTAACTTTTTTCCTCTTTAGAGTTCTGTTCTCTTCCTATTCTCTTGACAGTATTCTGTAATGTAACAATGATTTTTATTTTGATTAATTCTAATTTATTTTTTCTTTTGTTATTTTTTGATGCAATGTCTAAGAAACATTACATAATCCAAGGTCACAAAAGTTTATATCAAATTTTCTTGTAAGAAGGTTACAGGTGCAATTCTTACGTTAGAGTATTAATTAACCAATTTTGAGTTAGTTTTGTTCACAGAGAGGCACTGGGTTCCAGTTGTATTTCTTTGAGTCTAAATCATTTGCTTAATTTCACTTAAGATAATTCATGGCAAATGTATAGAACTATATTTATCATTTTATGTAGATCTTGTAGCCTATAACCTCTATAAACCCATGTCATCGTTTTGATATTTTAGTGAATTTCTCAAAATTTCTTATATAGAAGATATACCATATGAGAAAAGAGAGTTCTTCTTTTTATCCCTTCAATGTGGATGACTTTTACTTGCTTTTCTTACTTAATTCCCATGGCCAGAACCTCTAACACAATGATAGACATATCAAAGGAGAGGAGGTCAAAGGCACCTCTCTTCATCTTACTCTGGCATGACACTGGCTGTAACTTCACTGTCTTTTAAAAATATAGTTCTTGAAGAGGCCGTACTGGGGTCTTGTGCCCTGTTATAAAATAACACCTTCCACCTTTGTACATCCCATTCCTTTTCTCTCCATGTTCTTTGCTTTACTTTTCTTCCCTAACAGTTGTGGCTTGTGGGTGGATGGGTGGGAAAATAATATCAGTTTAGGTCAATAGTATCATTATGAAAATAGATCATTTGCTAAGACTTTTGTTACCCAATGCCCCGTATTGCCCTTTGTATATTAAATAGAAGTATCAGTGAGGAGTCTAGTCAATGACACAGTGTTTTAACTTCCCCAAAAAATATTTAAGTAAAATAGAAACTCATCTGTACATATGATATCATTCTTAAAACTGAGAGTCTGTGACATCATGGAATAGACTCCTTTAAATACTACTTCAATACAAAATGGTAGAAATTTTTTTTAAATGATTTCTTTATTTGAACTGACTTGCTAGCTGTGTCAGATACAAATGTGGACTAGTGCAGGATACAGAGTGTGCTATGGATCCCTCTTCCCAGAAGTTACATCAGTGACAGGCCAGAACACCTGGACTGTCTTTCCTTCCCAGGAGCTGTCCTATTGCTGTGAAGAGATGCCATGATCAATGCAACTCTTATAAAAGAAAGTTCTTCGTAGGGGCTTGCTTACATTTTCAGAAGGCCAGTCCATTGTTACCATGGTGGAAAACAGACAGGAATGGTGTGGAGTAGTAACTGAGACCTACATCCTGCCTGGTTCATAGGTAGCCAGCAGAGAAGAGAGAGAGAGAGAGAGAGAGAGAGAAAGAGAGAGAGAGAGAAAGAGAGAGAGAGAGCGCGCGCACAGGGCCTAGAATGGGTTTTTGAAACTTCATAGCTCACCCCATGATATACTTCTCTAACAAGGACACTCCTCCTAACCCTTCCAAACAGTTCATCAACAAGGACTGAGCATGCCAATAATGTGAGCCTATAGGGGCCATCCTCGTTCAAACCACCACACCCTTTTAACTGAATTTGTTAAACACTATGTGCTAATAAATAAAATGTAAACTCTAGGACTCAATTGGGCTATTGAAGGAGGAGAAGAATAACTTGGGAAGCAAATCCTAAATCTGAAGGTCAGGAGATCAATGGCCTATATTCTAGTTTTAGTTTGCCGAGTCACCAAAGCTTCCAGCTATAGGAGAGTCCAGAAAGTTGGGACAGAAAATGTCACTCACTCTGAGCTGAGAACAGGGACTACAGAAATAAGCTAATGTAACAGCGTCCTCAACGGGACGAGATAAATACAACATTGTGCTGAAGAGGAAAGCTGTTTGAAATGAGCAAAGGGAAGGGGTACTATGAATACCCTTACCCTTCACTGACATTTACAGAGCACCAAAGTGTCCTGAGCAACTCGGGGTGAACATCACGGTTGCTGCGGTAGGACAGCCTTAGAATCAGGCAGTATCCGTGGGGCAGCCTCTGACGAGCCTGCCTGGTCTCCGCAAGCTGTAAGTCTCCAGGCTAGCGGGCCTGGGAGTGAGCAGAGAACTCTTCATAAAAGAATTTAAACTTTAATTGGCCTGTCGCTACTCAAGTCACTTTTACAGAATTCGCTATTGATTAAAATAATATTGTGTGCTACAAAGCAGGAGGTATTGTGTCAGTCACCTTGTGAAGCAAACAATAAGTTAAAAGGACAAGCTCTTTCAGCAAGTTTACAAAGACAATTAGAGTCAAGAAAATAACAATATCACAGGAATATAATATCACAGGAATTACCCATGACTTTAGCGAATTGTAGTTTTACTCTTTAAAAATCAATAGACTTGGTCTTCTCAAGACTGCCTAATTTGTCTAGGATAACACACTTAGTAGGGTATGTACAAGAGTCAGGTTTAAATTCAGGTCATTTTAACAATTGCTGTGTTGTTTGTTTCTGGGAAAATGTCTTAATTAATTTTCCTGTGGCTCTGATTAGATACCCAGACAAAAGCAACTGTAGGAAGGAAAGACTTATTCGGAGTCACAGTTCCTGCAATGGTCTGATGGCAGGAGCTTAAGGTGGCTGGTCACGTTAAACCTGCTTTCAGGAAGCTACATCAGGATGAAGATGAGGGTTTGATCCCAGAATCCATGTAAAAAGCTAGGCGCGACAGCACGTGTTTGTAATTCCAGCACCTGCGAGGCAGAGGCAAGTAGATTCCTAGTCCTCAGCCAGTCTGGCCTCCGAGGCAGACTGCGGGCCAGAGCGAGTGCCAGCGTGCGGTATGTCACAACTGGTCTGACACCATTTTATATAAAGACAAAAAGGGATTTCTTTCTCAAAAATCGATGGTGGTTAACTGAAGTGGGAAATCCTGCCTTCTATGGGTTGGGTGGCACCCTTCCCTGGGCTGGGAATCCTGGAGTGTTGTGTGATATTTTACTCTTTTGAGTCTTTAATTGGAGGGCCCACCACCCAGCCCCCGATTAAATCACACAAGGAGGCTAATTCTTAATTATGAAAACATGGCCTTGGCTTGACTTGTTTCTTGTCAGCTTTTCTTAAACCATTCCAACTACCTTCTGCTTCTGGACTTTTTCCTTTTCTTATTCTGTACTTACTCCCTGGCTGGTTGGGTGTCTAGGTGTCTGACTCCTGATGTTCCCCGC